GTAGAAACGCGCAGAACATATTACATAAATAATTAACGTTTTGTTATAGGAAAATGAGTGACCCGCGCAGCAGGACAAAATATCAAAGGCCCCTTTACGAAAAAATATTATAAAAAAACTATAGAGAACGAGTAACGTCAATAGTTAAAACAGTAGTATTTTCGTCGATTAGCGAAAATACTACTGCTTTAACTATTGACAACTTATATTAAAACTACTTATAAAATTTACGAATAGGTTTTCTATAATTTTCTAATAGTGTTGTAATAAGTATACAGTAATATTCCGATATTTTTAAATAGTGCTTCAATAGTTTTCCTATATTGTTCTCAGTTTTTTTTTATAGTTTTTTTCCGTAAGGACCGCGAGTTTTGGACTGACGAACCACGTAATCCCTCGGCAGCAGAGGACAGCGACGAATAAATAATATGATGTTTGTTTCTTTTTCCTTACGTGAGTACTTTATTGCATTTTATTGCATTTTATAAATTATTTTGTGAAGTAGTGCAATTACTTTTAATTGTTTACATATTTATTTCTTGCTCACTTCAACTTAATTATTATTTACTTTTATCTAATGTTTACGATTGTATTCCAGATAGAGCAGGAGTTATGGCGCGGGGCGCCGATGGGGGTTTTTAGTCGGTAGGTTCTGATCCTTTGGATCAGGGAGTCCGACACTACTCCGGGTGTTCTTTCTAGACTAGGCCCCGGAGTGTCCATGATGGATTTTCCCCCATCTAAAAAAAAACGCATTTTTCAATGCTACACAAGAAAAATTTTTTTACTGTAATCTTTTATTTGTGTATTTATTTCTTATATAGCAAATTCGACCACAAAAACTAGTGTGCACGCGCACGCACGCGACACACACACACACACACACACACACACACTAATTTTGGTCTGTTCATGGTTGACACATCTTGCTCGCTTTTTGCCGTAAATTTGCTGTCACGCGTTACTCGGCACGTCTTGCTCGATTTTTGTCGTAAATTTGCCGTCACGCGTTGCTCGGCACGTCTTGCTCGCTGTTTGCCGTAAATTTGCCGTCACGCGTTGCTCGGCACGTCTTGCTTGCTGTTTGCCGTCACGCGTTGCTCGATACGTCTTGCTTGCTGTTTGCCGTAAATTTGCCGTCACGCGTTGCTCAGCACATCTTGCTTGCTATTTGCCATAAATTTACCATCACGCGTTGCTCGGCACGTCTTGTTAGGTCTTTGCCGTCACATTGGTTGGCACGATTTGTTCGCTTTTTACCGCAAACTTGCTGTCACGCGTTGCTTGGCATCACTTGCTCCATTTTTGTCGCAAATCTACAATCAAAGTGCGCTCGGCACGATCTGCTCTGTTTCTGCTGTCAATATGCCATCATACTACTAATGACAGCTTGTTCGGTTTTTGCCAGCAATTTACTATCACGCTTGATAACAGATCGTGTCGCAATATTGCCGACATTTTGCCGACATCACTTGATATAGCAAATCGTGCTGCAATTTTGTCGCCATTCTGTGGACAAAACGTGCAGCACGCTGTGCCGAAAATTGCTTTTGGCACGTTTGGCTATTTGGGTACCTATTATGGACTTCTTCGAAATCAATTCCGATCGGAAACATTCCGTTATTTCCTAAATTTCTATTGTCTTTTCTAGGGGAAACGGGATTGTTCAGATCGGAATTGATTCCGAAGAAGTCCAGAATAAATACCCTGGATATATTTTGCAATTATAACTACAAAACTTGTGAATAATCTGAACATTTCATCAACCATTCTAAAGCGCTTTTCAGGTCTTATCACTTCCAGGTAAAACATAAGATAATTTTTATGGCAAGATGATATCATTTCCACATCTTTATCTTGAAATTGTCATGAAAATGGAATTGTTTTATGTCAAAGTAACATCACTTTTATATCATTTAACGTCATTTTCACTTTTATATAACTTTGTGTTCTACGTTGCCTGTTTTCTCTTACAATATGGTATGATATTTATAATTTTAATTGCAAATTATATCATATATATATATATATATATATATATATATATATATATATATATATATATA